CTCAAATTGTGAGTACATGTGTATCTACCAAAGATATTAGTAAATATAATGTACTGTTTTGCAGAAGGCTGTGCCAGCCTCTGCCAGTTACAAGCTAACACATTGACTCAATTATGGGAAATAGAGAAGATATCTTTCCAAACCTGTAGTGTAAGGCAATTTGACACTTAATTCATGACAGTTAACACACTCCAGTTGGCTTATTCACTACTGGCTGTAAAGCCTGTTTTTCTCTTTCTTCCCGTCTGATGTTGGAGTGATGTTAATATGTCTTTGTATGTTCTGTTGAAAAGTAGTTTAGTTTATGACTGGCTTATTATGGGGAATTATAAATAAGGGACTTAGGATGACTATACGGCAGCAATATGTTTTTCGTTCTCCCCCTCTCTGTTTTTCTACATCCCACACTCACTCTGTTTCTTCCCATGTCAACACGCTGTGATCTGACTGAGTGACCCTGCGAGCATAGTTTGACCATAAACAGGCATGGGAAAGGGCCCAATTCCAGGAACTCACAAACATAACATACAGATGCTCATATGTATACAATCACGAAGAAACACAACAGAAAGATGGGACATATCTTAGATTGAAGTACAGTTTTAAATGCAAAATTAGATTTGTTCTGGAAATGAAAAAGCGAAATGTGGAAATAAAAGAAATAAATTAAAGTCTGATAGGCAGTTTGTCTAAATTGCAACTGGCGGCATAAGGTGCCACCTGATTTTGTGTGTGCGTGTGTGCGGTGTGCATTATGTTCATACAGTATGTAAGACATGCTGTTATGTGCTCGAGGGAGCAGGTGTGGTTGAATCTGGGGTTTGGCCTGTACTGGTCTCATGGCAGGAAACAGCTGTTGGTTCTCTAATCAATAACAGATCTTGTTTTCATCATCATTAATTATTTCAAATAGCTTTGAGTCATTTTGATTTATTGTCAGGGAGAAAAGTTTGATTGCAACTGTCTCATTGCTTCTCAATCAGTTTTTAAACATCCTGACGGAGGGAGGTTTCATCACTAAACAGCCGTGATCCATTTAGTTATAGCTCTAACAGCTATGGCAGTGGTGTCAAAGTCAATTTCATCGCGGGCCACATTAGCATTGCACTCAAAGGGCCGGTTGTAACTTTAAGACTATATAAATATACATTATATAAATATATAAAATAATTTAAATAATGTATTATATTATATTATTGGCTCTGCATTATTATCGGATAGGGTATAACTTCATAAATAACTACGTCTGAAAGCAGAAGTCTAGGGCAAATAATTGAAAGCAAATATTCAACAATTACATCAAAACTTTTGAACGAACATCCATAACATTCATCTGTTTGCAACTTATATATATCAATATTCCAATTACTTGTATATTGACTATTATAGCTAATGCAGGAACTGGAATGGTTGTTAAGTTGTCAATTAAAAACTTTAACACAAAATTGAAAAAAAAACGATCCTTCATTCCAGACAGAGGTAGACAAAAGCATAACTTTGTGTCATTCAAAGTTAGCGAATGTCCATTGTGCGGGCAGATTTAGTCCGCTGCAGTTAGCTAGATCATTCTTTTAGCTTCATACTCTATTCTTACAAATGATTAAGTTTGCAGGTGACTCATAGTAAAGGAACATTTACAGTGGGGTTTATGGATATGCTCTTAATGATTTGGCCTTCAAAGACTTCTTCAAGATCACCATTCACATAACTGTATCTTTAACTTGCACTTTCTCCCACTTTGTTTGCCAGCTACTCGCTAACTTTGCTGTTTGGTGCCATACAAGCAGCGTTCAGTAGGTTCATCAAGGCTTTTTTGCAGAAAACAGGGGAAAAGGTTAATTAGAGCCGTGAGAGTGAACCCAAAAAATTCTGTCAAAACCCAAAACCTGCAGAAGAATTATAATAGGGTTTTTTGCTTTGAGCAGCAGCTCTCAAACGCAAATTCATTCGATCCATTGTTGGTATGAAAATGTTGACTAATGCAGCTCTAAAGTATCATATTTTGAACCAGTGCATGACCCAACATTCCGTGTAATGGTGTCCGAAATACATGAATATACAATAACCCTTTTGTCCCCTGCTGATTTAATTTGAATTCTAATCATACTTTATGCATGCCAAGTTTTCTTACTGTGGATAAACACACAGGGTCATTCCCCATTAGTTTCTCCCACAGTGTAAACAACTGATCATGTACTGGTTGTCGTTCAAAGCCACAGCCCGCCTGCTCTCACGATGTGTTTGGTTCAGGGGATTATGCTCTGGTCATTGTGGGATGGCCTGTGGGCAGGGTGGGAACATCTGGATCTGAAACCAAGCTCTGACACTTCCTGTCAAAGAGCCAACATCAATCTGCCTGCCAGCAAAACTCGGATGGATATCCAGTGGATCTGCAATTATTTGGAAACACACAAATGACAGAGGCAGAGGGAAAAGTCAGGGACATAGTGGGAACTCACTATGTTTCACAAGTTTCCTTAATTTTACAGATTTCCTCAAGAGAAAATAAATTCACATTTGAGCCAAATGCATGAGGAAACTTGTTGCTGTTGCAGAGTAATTTGCTCAGCCTCACATAACCCCCTCCATTGGCCATCAGTCATTATGTGCATGACCGTTGGTCTCATGCTGTCTCACAGGGAGAATACTGTACTGTGGACTATACTCCTTTAGGCAGTGCCCTTCACCCCTCTTTTAATGCTTTCCAATGGCATCACTTCAGTGACCTTGATCAATGACAACGATGAGTTAATACACAAATCATTTTGTGATGCAGTCACAAGACAATAATTCCATGTCTTACATCCTCAGTGTGTTATTCAACATTCAAGTCTAAAAACCTTCCAAGAGCAACTAATATGATTAGTGAAAGAGCACAAAGAGCATTTGTTACATTTCAGCCATAGTTGGGGGCTTGTTCATCATTTATAGCAACACTTGAGCACAAGCCCATCACATGCTATTACTAACATGTTCACTCTCCCACAGTTATTCAAGTCCATTTGAGTTTTCAAAGTATTAGGACATACATTATAGGGAAAGTCAAGGGCATATTAAATCACTAATAAAACACACCACAAGACTTTGCAGGAGATGGGAGGGTCAGACATATTTGAGTATTTAACTTTTTTTTTGGGAATATCATACCTGCATTTATTTGTTCAAAACTGCAGTTTGGTACACATTAGGCTCTGACTCTTGTGTGGATTTCGCAATGGATGATCTCTTTAATAACATGGTCTTCTCAAGTACTCCTGTGACGAGAACTAGGGTTGCATCAGAATCTTATCAAAAAGTCAATAGTTAAATGGAAGAACTGAGCGCGGGTTTCTGGGTGGAGCCTGTTCGGAACCACACATCTCTCTTCTGAGATGCAGCATGTACAGGCAGTATACAGTATACACGGCAACACATGCCTTTGTCCATACACACAACCTGTCTGTCAGTCACTAAATTAATCAGCAATAGTGTGTTAATAGTGCACATGTTTGGGTACAAAGGCCTTCAAAAATGCCTCCATGGGCTCATTAAAGGAGTTCTGGCTTCACAGAGAAGTGGGACTACAGCCAGAAAAATATTTTCATGATCTTTCAACACATTTATCATCTTTAGAACCTCTCCACTGCATGAACCCATCCTCCCTGCTACATACCTTATTTCATCCTTAATTTGTTTTGATTACTTCCCTTTCTCTTTCATATTACTTCCCTAAAATGATTAATGGAGGAACACATTCCTGAAGTTTGTTGTGTTTCCCTCCTTCTATCCTCACGGTCCCCACAAATGTGGGGTCCTGTTGGGGCCCTCTTGCTTTTCATCTTTCCCTCTGTAATGTTCTCCTCTGTATGTACTGCAGCATATTCTTCCCTCATCACTTGTCAGGGTTATTTCTAGCACAGCTTCCCTTCCAAGTAATACTGAACAACAGGGACGGATATCACAGACAGTCTCTCTACCCCCTCTGCCAGGGTGCTGCATGCTATAAAGTGAAAGTCTTTCAAATGACAAAAAAACATGTTATTTTAATAGCTGTGTATTGTCTTGACTTTGCCTAAGCAAAACATTTTTAGCGTCAGCAATCTTAATATGATAGCATGTTTCCAAATTACTTTAACGCACTAACTTGTACATTTGTGCAAACTCCTGTTGCAAAAATAGTGATTAGATTCTCCCAACTTGTGTCCAGTTATAGTCTCACGTTTAACAAAACGAAATAAGTAACACAAAAATGTAGTCAATGGGGTCAAATCAGTTTCTTTTATTTAATGCGACATCAAACATTTGTATGTTAAATGTATGAAAATGTTAAGAAGATTGTATTTAATCGCTTCACTCATGCTGGGCTGTTATCGGTCTGAATCCCTGCTAAGAGCAGTTATCTGCAGTCATTAGTTATTTCCTGGTTATAATTTAAAAAACACTAAATATGCAGAAAACAATCAGGATGTTATAGTGACTGACTGCAAGATGATTTGATCACAGCTGCTAGGTGTTATTCTTGTAAATTGGGCTTCTTCTGTTTGAGGCATCAAGAGTCAGGACGTCTTTCTTATCTTAAAGGGGACCTATCATGCAAAATGCACTTTTGTACGTCTTTTATACATGAATATGTGTCCCCGGTGTTCCAGGGAACTCACCAAGTGTCAGAAAACACAACCCTCTCTATTTTCCTCCATACCCAAATCTCTAAAAAAGGGTCTGCAACGGATCTGATAAAAACTGCTCCAGATTTGAACACTGTCCTGACGTCAGGACGGTGGCGCTACGGCTATTGGGCCAACTCCACCAATCAGGAGGAGACAACCACGGCATTGCCATTCGAAAGCGCTGGAGACGCTGTAGTACATATGCCAGGCCTCTAGATGGTGCTGTTGCTCACAGAATCAACCCTTGCAAAAACAGAGCTAACATTTTTCAAATTGAGCGAAATGAGGCATGGCTAAAATGCATGATCTGTTTGGTATTTTGAAAAAAAAAAAGTATAAATATGCCTTATATAGGTATGGTCCTACACTATATTATTCAAATATAGCATGATAGGTCCACTTTAATGCAGTCAAAGTTAGTCCTCAATATTGCAGTGTTACTGATGTGCATTTGAACAACTTGGGGAACATTTTTACTAGCTATTTGTTCAATGATTACAAATCTTTGACCTGAACTGAATACCAAAAAAACAACAACAACCATAGTACACGCATGAACTCCCAAGACTAATGAAGGAGAAGAGAAGGAATAAATCTCACAATAACACACACAATACTGCATACTGCACACCAAAACAGCCAAGTATGCTTCAGCTTCACACTTCACTTATTATTTATCTACCTAATCTAATTAAAAAAAAAATGTTTTAGTAACAGTCACATGATGAGTTACAAGTGTTGAGGTTTGTGAGGTCTTGATGTTCACATGCTGCTGTTCATCAGATCATGAACTGTGAGCCGGAGAGGTAATGAGAGTCTTTCCAGATGTTTGTCTCTCCGCAGTTGGTTGTCCTCCTCTTACACTGGCAGCAGCACTTGTACTCTGCAAGCTTATCTACCAGGAGCCGACCAGCAGACCTGACCACAGGGGGACAGAGGGAAGCAAGGGGAGATGTATCTTTTGGGTAAGTCAGTTATGTGGAACAGTACATCCCAATTAGACAGGTGTTATCGCCATCAGTAGAGAATACATTCAAAATCAACTTTGTCATTGCCTTTCAAAGATATGATGTTGTCAAGCCACTTTAAGTTATGTATGTAAGATAACTTGTCAAAATGCTTCTGTGGTATCTTGTACTGAAACACACCTCAGGAAGCGCCTGTCCTCTTCCTCTCGCTGGTGTTTCAGCTTTGCGTTGCGACTCCACTCGTCCCCCAGTGACTTACTGATGTCTCGCCTCTTCTCAAAGCGATTAATGTGGTCCAATATTAGCCTTCAGAGGAAACATACCAGAGAGAGAGAGTCTACCATAGTTTCCACAGAGCTCCTCATTGTCACACATGTTTTCCCTCTTCCTTTACTCACTCCATTTTGTTGTGTTTGAGAACTTCTCGCTCTTTCTGCAGCTGTTCTTGGTGGTTGTGCAGTTCTTCCTTCTTCCGCTGAGTGGCGGTACTGAAATTGATCCGGAAGTGCTGCCAGTATGTAGAATAACATCACATCATTCTCAATATGTAATAGATAAATGTACACATGAAACCCACAGTAAGATGTATTATAATATTGATAAGAAAACGGTGGTATTGTGTAATTACCCTACTTCTTCGGGACAATTTTGAGGTTGTGTATTTTACTTGAGTATTACCATTTTATACTTTAACCTTTAAATATTTCACAAAGAAAATGTTGCAGTTTTTATTCCACTGAATTTATCTCATATTGTCTTGATTAGGCAAGTTCACATTTAACGTTGTTTAAGCTAACCTAATAAAACATGCACAATTATCTAAACCAGCAGCACCATGAATCCAATAATATAATACAATTCTTTAATATGCTACTTTAACTTAAGTAAAATATCTAAGTAACCTCTCACAAACCGTAAAAAATAAAATAAATGCAGAGACTTTGATATCATTTGGAGCAATCACTGGTTATTTCGGACATCTGCATGATGCAACAACTGCAGATTGAGGTTTGTAGGCACCAATCAGAAACAGATTTAACCTTCTGTGCCCTCTCTCGGCCCTCTGCGTTGCTGGTGGCCGTCTCACAGCGGTTGAACCCGGAGTTGTCAGCCTGGCACTCTGGAGGGTCTGTGCTCTTCCTATCTCTGACCTAAAGGACACAAATGACTAATTTCAGCTGTAACGTTACCATGCAGCGGTCCTCCTGGGTCAGATGTGGCTGGTGGCTGTTCCCCTCTGGCCCACAAGGTCAAACCAAAACCAAGTGAAAATGTTGTTGTTGTTGGCTGACTTTAAAGTACACAACACCTGCTAAACACAAGCATAATGTTGGTTTGCATTCTTATACTGGCTCAGAAGCAGAGATATTTATTTTATTCCATGCATTCTTCTTTCTCGTCAAATCAAACCAAAAAAACAGATCCTGTTTAATGTAATGCTTGCACCGGTGATTTAAACTAAAGGATGGGCAACAGCTTCACTCTCATTATGAAATTCAAGACCATTTATAACCTTTTGTTCATTTCACACAACTCAAATCATTGTTTCTGTCTACTTACCTGGGGTGTTTTGCTGGTATTTGTGCTACTAACTAGGAAAAAAAACATATTTTGCAAATCCGAAAGTCAACTTTGAGAAGTATATTCTTGCCTGAGTGTCCAGGGCCCTTTTGTAAATAGTAGTTCTCTCATGTTTCCGCTGAAGCTGCTGAGCCTTCTGCGAAGTCATCCTAAAATACACACACACACACACACACACACACACACACACACACACACACACACACACACACACACACACACACACACACACACACACACACACACACACACACACACACACACACACACACACACACACACACACACACACACACACACACACACACACACACACGGTTCTTGTAATTTGTGCTGTAGCTGAGCAGACTGTTGACTCACCTGCAGTTGTAAACACATTTAACCAGATGACTCTCTAATTATACCAACAGAGGGTTACTGGAAATGCCAGAGCATTACTGCTGTAACAGACTCACTCCTGGTACAAATGGACCTGATCCAGATGTTCCAGGAGACAACGGTTCTGCTGATCTCGGGCCTCCTGTTGCTGGCGAGTCTCTATCTGACCCTGAAGCTCGTTCATGTAGCGATGCTGCTGGATCCTCGGCGCCGGAGTGAAGGGCCGTGTCGGGAAGACGAATGAAGTCTAAACACAAGCATCCCAGAGTAATAATAAGGTAAAATCTTTGAGATATTTATAAACTTGAATCCTGTGTGCTACAAATATGGTCAGATTAATTCACTAAAATAACTATTAAATCATTCAGAAATGAAGCTGCCTTGATGAAGTTCACAGGAAGTTGACAGTGTCTGTGTCTGTGGTTTACTGTTCACTTTCATATCAGAGCTGCAGTAAAAGGTCAACGACTGATTACTTAACTGTGAAGAGATACAACAGTTGCTCTTCTCCGTTACTTTGTAGTACAAACTAGCTCCTCAACTGTTGGCTGCAGGGGCTGAGTCTCAAGTGTTCAGGTTATACTCACAGGGAAGAGAGGACAGAAATTCTTCTCTTTCTTTTCAGACATTTGCAGGTTGAATGTAGCAACCTGCTTTGCATGCTCACGTTGCTCATTCAGCTTCTCCTGCCAGATGCACACACAAAGACACCCCTTGTATTATCATGTTGACTGAAAGAGAAAAGACATTGAGAGAAGGACATATATTCACCACGGAGGGCAGTAAAATAAAAAGTTGTTTAATTTTGAGTTGTAATATCCCACATGTCCCACACCTCTCCCAGTGCTGTTCTCAGCTCTCTGGCCCCAACCAGTCTGGAACCACCCTTAAATCCTCAGTTGTTAAGATTTGTTTTATTGATGTTTTTACTTTCTCTTGACATAATGGTTTGACTTCAACCTCTGACCATGGAACAAACTGTTTCTATTTCCTCAGTCGGTTGTTTTCTGTACCCTTTCTTAACCGGAACCCAAAAGCAAAACACTTCATGTATGAGTCACATCCAGTAACTCACAGCAGAGAACATGACATGGCATTTTCTCAGGTATTTTTCAAATGATGTCTTAACTGTTACTATTATAGCTGTTGATGTCACCATGCTAAAATGAGCATTTAGCTCAAATTATCTTTTTTACACATTTGTTATGTCATACAAAAAACATGTGAACGCACGCGCGCACACACACACACACACACACACACACACACACACACACACACACACACACACACACACACACACACACACACACACACACACACACACACACACACACACACACACACACACACACGCACACACACCTGTTCTTGGTGCATGTGCTGCCTGTCTCTCTGTTGTTCTTTCAGCAGTAAGAGCTTCTCCTGATCTTTCTCTTCTGCCTGCCGCTGCTCCCTCAGGTACACTGGAACATTTATTTGGGCCCGCTGCATGCACAGGTAGCACAGCTCCTACGATTACAAGACAGTTCTTACAATTAAACACTTGAATCAGTAATGCAAAAAGTGATTTTCCTCTAAGGCTTTTGCTATAAATTATATATTTATGGACATCCCTTCAGCTCCCTGCACTCGGACCTGAGCTCCCATAAAAGCAATAAAGGTTTACATCTGGCATTGTATTGTTGAACTGTGCTTTCTTAGTTATTTTGAATTGAATTTAATTCTCTTTCCCTCCCTTCCCTAAACTGCTTTTCCTGTGCGTGGTCTCAGTGCGTGTTGCACCATAAGCCTGTTGGAACACACACTGGGTTCAAGTGGGGGTTAAACCAAGGCAATATCATACTGAAAGGGTCACATCAAAAAAACATAATTCCCTATAAGTAATAAGTCATTTATTTAGTCTTATTCCAGTGACCAAGAAAGTGAACCCACCTCTTAAATATAAAGGACCTCTATAAAAGCCAAATTACTTACTGAAGACTTCTACATATACATGAGGCCTAACACATACCTGTCCAGCACGAGCGTGTCCAAAGCAGTTACCAGTCACACCAGGGTCCTCCAGTTTGCGAGCGACATCTCGTGGTGTGACGGACACGGTGGGCCTGAGATTGGAAACAGATTATTGACCACTTTGTATGTTTCATCAAAGAGAACGGCTCTCTTTCATGTGCAGATTGGTGTCACTTTATTAGTGTATTATGTTACAATTGTGTGACATTTGAATATTAAAACAGTATTAAATACTTTAGTTGTTCATGGGAACACCATGGACATGTGTTTGAGTTGTAAAGGGGCTCTAACTGTTTCTTAGGATATCATAGCAGAATGAGGATTAGTAATCAAATCAGCTGACACTTGTTGGTCATAAGTCAAAAAGTCAACTTTATTGTCAATCTTCTGTGTGTAATACAGACAGGGAGATCGAAATGCTGTTTCTCACAATCCCGAGGAATAATAATATATATATATATATATATATATATATATATATATATATATATATATATATATATATATATATATATATATATATAGTTATATTTATATATTTTTTTTATTTTAAATGCAGATGAATATATATGTACGGAGAGTTTCTGTGCACTTGCCACAAGAGAAGAAAGGAACAGGGGATTCAATTGAAATTATAGGGAAGATCTTAATATCACTCTGTGCCATGTGTGTTTTGTGTGAGTGTATAAGTGCTGACAGTGCAATTAGGTAATGACAGAAGAGGAATCTGGCCCACAGATAGTTGTGCATCATTGATGGAGCTTGAAGCTGCATAGGTCGGTAACAATATGAGACCACCCCTGAGGTCCCAGCTACCAGAGACTCAACCACCAGCGAACAGCTCTGTGCACTGCAAGCTGAACCTCTCCATAGAGTGTGTGTGTTTTACTTGTCTGTGGCCTCCATGGGGGGTTGTGGATTCAGTTCTTCAGGCAGGCTGACAGCTTTCATCTTGGCAGGCTGCAGTGGCTGATGGGATTTAGATTCTCCCTGTTGGGGAACTTCTGTAGAGACACACAACACTAGTAGTTTCACTTTTTTCTAAGTCATATTGTTCTTCTTATGGCTCTAGATCTATCATCATCAATAAGCTGCATCTCAACCCCTGATGCCCCCTATTAATTCTGTTGAAAGAGAATGGTTTCAGGAAGCCAAACAAACTAAACGCAAAGTAGTTTGAAGTCAATTTGACAGAGCCAGGCTAGCTAACTGTTCCCCTCTCCTTCCGTCTTTGTGCTAAACTACAGGTACAGTAATAGACCATTAACTGTAGTTTATTATCAAACAGATAGTCATCTACCATTTCCTCAAGAAATTAAAGAAGTATTTATTTCCCAAATTACCAAAACTACTCCTCCAAACAGCTAAATAAATGAAGGTTTCCTTTGCAGCAAGTTGATAAAATGCTTGAATTTGAATCAATACTTATTTTAGTGCTATCAAATCCTAAATGATCAGGTTTGTGAAAAAACATCTTTCACCTCCTGCATTTCTTTGGTCTTGAGCTTTGTCAGCAGCCCTTTTCTCTGGCTCAGGAGAGCAGACGGTTGGCATGGTGACGGGGTTGGCAGACTGTGGCATCTGGAGCCTAGACAGGCCACCGGACAGTAAAGAGACACTGCTCCCAGGTCTCTGCAGGGACAAAAGTACAGATAATCTGCATCGATACTAATTCATTATATACAGTATCATTCAAACACTTGCACTTTTTTAAACTCACATTGTCAAAGGCTAACAGCAGCCGACCAGTTCCATCCATGGCATTAATAAAATCTCTGTTGAACTTCATTCTCACCTTTGAATAACATCAGATGAGATTACATTCAACAGAAAAGCAGTAGTTATGTTACCAGAGTACAATATACTGTAATGTGAGGAGGTGAGCCACCTTGTTGTTTCTGAAGGACAAAACTCCAATTCCCTGGAAAGTGAGGAATATGTTTTTTTCAGAGGCCAACAATCTGAAGAGGAGAAGAAGAGTTTCTCTAACGCAGCCCTCCACCATGTCTCGACTGAAAGGAGTCTCTTGTGACACAGCTGCAAAGTTCAGTTGCACCACTGGTAGATGTGTTGCTGTAAGGGACAGACAATTAAAAAACATATAGTCAGAAAATAATCTCATCAGTGCTTTATCAGGGCTGTGTTCATGCAGTTCGATCAGATTTAATTGACAACAACCAAACCACAAACTATCATCTGATTCAAATGTGTCTAAATCCAGATAGGTGTGTGATGTTTGCAATATTTGATATCAGCATCAAAGAAAAATACCTTTTATTCTCCTGATATGTGATTTGATGTACGAAGGGACTTTTTTCTGATTAGTTTGCTGTGAAATATGAAGCCATTTGTAATTCTCACCTGCAGCCAGTGGCCTGGTCTGCTTTAAACCAAGAGACTGGACTAGTTTGCCAGCCAGGAGGAAGATGGGTCTTTGGATCATTGTGAACTTGTTCCCTATGTCCAACTTCTGCTGAGAGAAGGTGAAGGTGCCAAGTCCTGCCAGGTGAACTCCCTGTTACAATGGATTTAACAATCAATGAGACATATGATGGATGGATAGATAGATAGATAGATAGATAGATAGATAGATAGATAGATAGATAGATAGATAGATAGATAGATAGATAGATAGATAAGATAGATAGATAGATAGATAGATAGATAGATAGATAGATAGATAGATAGATAGATAGATAGATAGATAGATATAGATAGATAGATAGATAGATAGATAGATAGATAGATAGATAGATAGATAGATAGATAGATAGATAGATAGATAGATAGATAGATAGATAGATAGATAGATAGATAGATAGATAGATAGATAGATAGATAGATAGATAGAAGATAGATAGATAGATAGATAGATAGATAGATAGATAGATAGATAGATAGATAGATAGATAGATAGATAGATAGATAGATAGATAGATAGATAGATAGATAGATAGATAGATAGACAGACAGACAGACAGACAGACAGACAGACAGACAGATAGATAGATAGATAGACAGATAGACAGATAGATAAATAGAGGCTAACCTTCTGTAAGGCCATATGACGTTCAATGTAGGCGGAAACATCACCCCAAATACAGTTAATATCTGAAGAAAAAAGACATTAGCCTATATTTGGTGATATTGCAATGGAGACGCATGCACACTTTATTAGCAGTTGTGTGGAGAATATAAACATTATGAACATTTTAATAGTAAACATAAATAAAGTCTACGTATTTTCCAACCTTTTTCAGAGTGCTGGGAGAGAGTAGATAAAGTCCGTCCGTCCATTTCTGACACCAGCCGAAGTATGTCAGTCATATCTCTGAAATCTTTGTAATCCTCACAGGACAATGAGTGTTAAAAACGTTCCTCTAAGAAGTGTCATCTGCCTGCTTGGCTGCTACTGCCAAATACCAAGACAAGACTTGAGAGCCGCGCTCACCGTAGCAATGCCCCCCCACAGCAATGCCCCCCCCGCAGGGCATGCACCTGTCCTGGTCAGAGAGCCGTCTGTGCGACGGACAACACACTACAACAAAGGAGGTGTCAATGAGTTCAGGTTTCCTCGTAGTTTTGTCGGACACCTGGAAGCTAAGTGCAAATGGCGGACATTAGTATTTATTTCTCTAAACAAGTACAAAACACAAATCCTAGGTTATTTAAAAAAACGTTAATAAGAGGAATAAAATACATGCTGACTTAACTGTAAAACTGACAGATGTCACATTACATGTTACTTGTTAGACGCTTTTATCCAAAGCGACTTACATACTCAATACTGTGGGCAATCCCCACAGGAGCAATTTGGGGTGAAGTGTCTTGCCCAGGGACACAACAACATGCTGACTGTAGTGGGGTTTGAACCTGTGCTCCCTTGATCCGAACACCAACGCTCTACCCACTGCGCCACACGCCTCCTGTCACGATCTGCTATTGACCAAATATTAGTTAATATTATTATATATCCTTTATTTAACCAGGTAAAAAGACTCATTGAGATTAAAATCTCTTTTTCAAGAGTGACCTGGCCAAGAAGGGCAGCATGAACAAAGTTACAACAGATAAAACACAGACAAGACAGGCAGACAAATACAGCTGTAAAACACAAATAAAATGGCACATTAGCCAGTCAATATGCGAAATAAAACAAACTATTAAAAATCTTTAAAAACTGGCAAAATTTAAAACGATTTTAAGATATACTGTACGAGCACTCACATCTACCAATGGTGTCATGTTCTCTGTCCTCTGAATTCCCCCATAGTGATTAAATCTGAGAGTTTCAGCTCCTTCTGTACATTGTTCCAAGCTGTGGGGGCAGCATATTTAAAAGCTGTTTTACCCAGTTTTGTTCTCACTGTAGGAACCAGCATCTGAATAAAATCTTGGGAGCGCAGGCCATATAGACTTTCTCTTTGACACATATATGTGCAAATGTAGGAGGGAACCAACCCAAGCAGAGATTTATAAATAAAACCCAACCAATGGGAATGTCTGCGAGCAGACAAAGACGGCCAATTAGCAGCAGCATATAAAGTGCAATGGTGTACTCGATATCCACATCCAGTAATAAATCGTAAGGCGCAATGGTACACAGTATCCAAGCTCTTTAGGCACTGGTCGGAGGCATTCATGTATAGCAAATCACCATAATCTAATACTGGTAAAAACGTTGCAGATATCAAATGTTTCCTTGTCTGAAAAGAGAAACAGGATTTATTTCTGTCAAAGAAACCTAATTTTATTTTTAGCTTTGAAACAACATTTTCCGTGTGTAACTTGAAAGACAAGTTCTGTTCAATAAGAAATCCCAGATATTTGTAAGTAGTGACCCTCTCAATGTCAGTCCCTTGAGCAGTACAAATCTTGGGTAGAATAGATGGTAACTTTTTGCCATTCGAAAATATCATCACTTTGGATTTTTCGGCATTTAATACCAACTTTAGTTGATATAAATGGGTTTGTATGACATCAAAGGCAGACTGGAGGAAATCTAGACTTTGCTCTATAGAAGCGGAGGAACAATAAATAACAGTATCATCTGCATAAAAATGGTAAGAAGCATTTGCTAAATTATTACATAAGTTATGTACATATATGGTAAAAAGAATCGGTCCTAATATGGAACCTTGTGGCACACCCTTTGCTATCGGGAGGAAGGAAGAAGAGGACCCAGAATATTGGACGCATTGGGTTCTCGCTGATAAATAATTTTAAAACCAACCTACAGTATGCCTAGATAAGCCGATACTGTGAAGTCTTTCCGCCAGGATGGTATGATCAACTGTGTCAAACGCCTTTGACAAATCAATAAATAGAGCTGCACAATACTTTTTACCGTCCAATGCCTCAATTATGTTGTTCACCACTTTAATAGCAGCAGTTGTTGTGCTGTGTTGTTTTCTAAAACCGGATTGGTGCTCTGACAAAATATCATTTGTGTCCAAGAATAATTTAAGTTGTTCACTAAGAAGCTTTTCAAGGACCTTCATAATTTTGAAATTGGCCTATAATTATTAACAGATGAGGGATCCCCTCCTTTCAGTAAAGGAAGAACATATGCAGATTTCCATATGTTAGGAATCTCATTGTTGGAAAGAGATATATTAAAAAGATAAGTAAGCGGCTCAGCTATAAAGTCTGCAGCTAATTTAAGAAAATGAGGAGGAAGTTTGTCCGGACCTGCCGATTTGTGTGGATCCAGATTCTGCAATGCTTTATGGACCTCTATCGCCTCGATAAAAGTGAAATTGAATGGCTGAGCCACGGGATGGGATGGAGGTGGTGAGGAATCAACGTTCTGTCCAGGGTCAGAATGTAAGGACTCAAACAAAGAACCAGAAGAAATAAAATGTTCATTAAAGCAGTTGAGAATGGCCGATTTGTCAGTGAGAGTTTGCGAGTCTGTAACAATGCAGGCTGGTAATTCATTTTTAGTTTCTGTTCCAAATGAGTTTTTTATTACCTTCCAGAATTTCTTTGGATCATTTAAGTTACTAGTAGTATTTGAAATGTAGTATTCAGATTTAGCCTTTTTAACTAGGAAGGTGAAACGATTTCGGAGCGGTCTAAAAACAATCCAATCCACTTGGGATTTCGATTTTCTGGCCCTTGACCAGGCAATATCCCTTTCCTTTAGAATGCTGGCCAGTTGAGGACTAAACCAGGGATTTTTTAGCCCTTTCACCCTAAATTTGCGGAAAGGAGCATGTTTGTTTATAATTCTAGTAAAAGCCTCATGAAAATAATCCCATGCCAGTTCAACATCACTACTGAGAGAGATCTTGTTCCAATCAAAATCCCACAGGTCATGAAAAAATGCTTGCTCGCAGAAATGTTTAAAATCACGTTTAAAAACTATTTGTGGTCTTGTTTTTTTAAGCTTAGCTTGCCTGATTGTAGCTATAGCGCAATGGTCACTCATATAATTTGCAAAAATACCAATATCCAAAAACTTATGAGGCGCATTTGTTAAAAATAAGTCCATAAGAGACGATTTATCTTGTTGTTTAAGATTAGGACGAGTTGGGCTATTGATAAATTGCGTAAGATTAAAAGAGTCACAGGTTGATTTAAAACTATCGGAGACAGAGGACAACCAGTCCCAATTAAAGTCTCCAGCAATTAAAATCTCATTAAAATCCAAGCAAGATAACTGATGACTCAGTGATGATAAAGCCTCAATGCTTGCTGAAGGGGGTCTATAGCACCCTACAACAGTGATAAAATGACCCTTAAGAAGTTCCAATTTCAGCGCAAGTAGTTCAAATTGTCTGCTAAGAGACACAGATGATTGGATGGTAGCATGACATTTTGTTTTTACATAAATTGCGACACCACCACCTTTTCTGGGACGGTCACAACGAAACACATTGTAACCCTTAATTGCAATGTCTTTGTCCGTGATAGATTTATTTAGCCAAGTTTCAGACAAAACAAGAACATCAGAATCAGAGGATTTTGCCCAGATTTTCATGTGGTCCATTTTAGGAAGTAGACTTCTGACATTTATGTGGATGATACCAAGACCCGACCTTGCTTTAAAATCATCAGGGGTACTCAGACAATTCAAATCTGGTCCAGGGTTTGGATGAACATTTCCTGATATTAGGAGCAGGATAACAATGAAACATTTCCTTTTCACCCAAGTTTTTGTTTGCATAGATTCATTATATAGGCCTATTACTCTCTTTCCACCATAGGAATATGAGTTCATTGAAAACAACCAGTTATAAGGACTAAAAAGACGAATAAGACAAGGTAGATTCATGAGATCCTTGGAGATTAGAATGATCCAATTTACAGAGCTCTTAAACAAAGTAGAATCCCAGTTTGTGTCTTTACTAGGGAAGACATGATGAGGCACATTTTGGTCTCCACACCCTTCACGCACCTCATATGGATGGAGAATAGTCAATAGGAGAAAAATAGGTATTAGGAGAAACATGCTGGGTGACATGTGTCAGGGGGTAGAGAAGGCCTGCTGAAGAAATCCGAAAATCAGCACAGGAAACCCGTCCGCGTTTTCCGTCCTGCCAAAGTTGAGAGATGCCAGATCAGCGAGGTGAGAATCCGGTCCGGACTTTCAATCCTCCCGAGAACGAAGATGACGTTGTTTGACGTCTCATGTAAACAGGAACACAAGCCCAGTCATGCTATGCTTTAGCTCAACGAACCCAGTCCACCAAAGTCCAAAATCAAGCGCAACACAGGTGGCGTTTCAGCTCCGGGAAGTGAGCACAGGCTCCGCTGTCCAAGCGGATAGAGTGATCCCAGTCCTCCAAGAACGGCAGTAATGTTTAGCCGCAACGTTATACAACAACGCTCGCCCTGGTTGTACTGTCCAAAACAGCTCACAGATATTGGCCGGTGTTTTACAAAGATAACAGATATCACCTAGACAACACTAGAACAGACATGAAAGCTAGTTATTAACCAGAGGTGGGAAGTAGTGGAGTACAAATAGGCCTACTTCGTTTCTGCACTACTTATTTTTCTGACGACTTTTTACTTTTACTTCTTACATTTTTAACACAAATAGCCTACCTGTAGGCCTACTTTCTCTACTTCTTACATTTTCAAAACAGGGTCGTTACCAGTGGCGGCCGGTGGTCTTTTTTTTTGGTGGGGCTCTTGACGTACCGTAAGTGACCTACCCGGGGGGTCCGGGGGGTTTCCCCCCGGAAATTTTTTTCGAGAAATGACCCCTTAAATGATGACTTCTGGTGATGTTAGAGGGGGGGGGAAAGGAGAAATCGAGGCTTAAAAATATGAGAAGACTGATCAATACCTCCATAATCTTCAGTGTGGAAAATATTATTTATCAAC